ATTTGCATTAATTTATTTACAAATTGTTATATTTACAAATCAAGGTTTATTAATTGTTATAAATTTGGAATTCATTAAATAAATGTTATAAAATATTTAATTTTGCATTTTATCCTTTAAAAACTTTTAATGTCAACAAATGAGTTTTTAACTACATTTTTAAAATGCTTACCTGTTTATATTTATAGTACCATTTGATATAATATTTTAAATAAAAATGTTTTAAAATTTGCGTTAATTTGTTATAAACGTTTAATAATTTTAATCTTATTGTATATTATATATTCTAATATTATTTATGTGTTTCATTTTTATGTAATTGATAATTTTATTTAAATTGTTTACAGTTTATTTACATTTTGATTATTTATTTATACATAATATCGAGAATGACTAAACCGTATCCATTTGAAAACCGTACCCCCTTGAAGCCTTGTCCATGCGGTAAATGGTAGACCCAAATGCCGACACCATGTGCGCCTATATTGGGCGGCGGTTTCTGTTTTCATTTTTCACATTTTCACGGAAAATCTTTTTTTAAGGTTTTTTAAGAAATGCTTAAATTATAAGACATTTAAATCAATTACTTATTAAATTATGATGTTTTAAAGAAATTTGTAAAAATTAAATTTTCCGTGAAAATGTAAAAATTGACGGAAAACAGAAACCGCCGCCCAATATAGGCTTACATATGGTCGGCATTTGGGTCTACCATTTACCGCATGGACAGGGCTCCAAGGGGGTACGGTTTTTAAATGGATACGGTTTAGTCATTCTCAAATATTAGTTGTTTACAACAAACCGAAAACTATACATAATATATTATATTATATATACAGTTATATTATAACATATACAATATCAATTTTAAAAATTTAACAATAATTATTAAAAATAAATCTCTACAAATATCCCATATCCTGTTTTATGAGTTACAATTTTAAACTTAAATACCTTAAAATGTTAAGAATTAATTAATTACAGTATTAAAATTAAAACAGTACACTAAAAACAACCCAACCTAATAAAACAAGGTGCGCACAACTATGCTATGCGTGAGACACAATTCTGGTTGTGCTCTAACTTGTAAGAATCCCATAGACCTGACACTAACTCATAATTCATAAACTTAATACTGTATTAGTCCATGATTAGCAGTCGACTATACAGAAGGGTCTAGCACAATTCTATAAACCACATTATCTATAAATTAATTATGGTTAAAAATATATCTGGTCAATTTATTAATTGAAAATATAAATGTTAAAAATAAAATTCTCTTTACTTTTCGTGCCACAAGTATTATATAAAATTTATATTTTAAATCTATTAAAATGTAATTTATTCATCAATTACAGTTTATAATTAATAAATATACAAAAACTTCTAATTAAGTCATTAAACATAACAATAAGTTGAGACATCAAAATGTTGCAATTTAGATAAAAGAGTAACAAAAAAGTTAATATAAGTAAAATTAGGTTCATTGCTTTAAAACAAATTTTTAAATACAAAAAACACTAAATTTTGCTATAGAAATTGCAACCTCACCTTGATGTTAATTTAATGAAAACAATGTTTGCAAATATTTTTGTGCTATAAATATTACGTTTAAAAATATATATTTTACCCAAATCTAATAATTTAAACAAAGTTAGTTATTGAGAAATATATTTGAAATAAAACAATAATGAAAGTATCCAAAAGAATAACGATAGAAATGAAAAATTTAAAATTTTTGATGCATTTTTTAATTGTGATTAATGTAATATATTAATTATATATCATCCCTGTGTAATTGTTTAAAATAAAAATTGTGTTATTTCTTATACAATAATTAAATATTTAATAATTACTTAAATTTATTAAAAGCATATAAATTAATTGAGTATAATTTATAAACATTAAATTTTCTAGAATTATTTTTAAATAAAATATTTACATGTATATTAATTTATTCTTGTGGTAATTATACAATATTGATTTTGTTATTAGTTTTATTTAAAAATATAAATATTAAAAATAATAGGCCAGTTCAGAATGTCTCCAATATATAATAATTATAATATAACTATAAATCTTTAAGAATTGTTTAAATTACTAAATTACAGTTCATCAACGTTAACCAATATGTTAAGAATCATGTTAAGGCAAGCAATGTTTTGATAGATAATTTTGATAATCGGGGTAATTGGCAATAAAACCCCAATTTTTGTTTTAAATTATTTCAATATTAAATATTACTATCATTGTATTGTAGGCCAGTATTGGGCCCCGCAATGTGTATGGTTTCCTGTTGGCCATAAATTCAGGTAATATATTCTTGATCAATAGTAAATACCATGACATTGCTGACAGTATTTTTCATACACCGCCTTCGACTTAGGTAAATTAAATTAAATATTTATAGATATAATATTATCAGCAATCATTTTTACAACTGGAACTTTTCTATCATGAATGTTTTACATTTTTATTAAAATCATAATTATTTTATAATACAAAATATATTTGTACTGCAACTGAATTTGTTTATATTAGTAATTTTAATGTGATATTTTTATTGCAATAAGGTGTTATTTTATATTATGTAGTTAACAACTGTAGTGATTCAATCACGGTTAATTAAAGATTTATAAACATATTTATTATTTTACAATAGGTATGTAATCGACTTTATTTATCGCAGGTACATTAAAATACAACAATTTTTTCAACAACACAATAAATAAATTGTTATTTTAAAATAAAATAATATTTTGATTTTTATGTAATTTGTTAGCAGAAAAATATATTAAGAATTAAATACAAATTAAAAATAATATCATTTGTATTTTAAATGTACTCGGTATATTTGTTAACATTTAGATAAGTTATTGTAATAATACATTTTATATATGACTTATTTACATAAGGTTAAGTCATGTAAATATAAGATTCTAAATAAAATAATCATACTGATAAAGTAAATTGATAACACTGTATATAAATTATTTTTAATTGTTTGTAATTGAAAATAATAAAATTTATAAATTTATTTCATTAAAAGACAATATATTGCGGAGTAATGACTAAATTTTAGCCACGTTTGTCGTCCAATAGGATTTACATTAATTTATATTTATAGTCTTTTTTGTTAATTTAATATAATTATGCTTGTGTATTTTGATGATAAAGTAACAGTCAATACTTTATTTAAGATATAGACTTTATATTTTATTTTACATGTACAATATATAATATAATATGTAATTATAAATATTAAAAATAAACACAATTTCGAATCTTTTCCAAAACTACATTATTTTTATATTTTAAATTTCTATAAATATAATTTATATATTAATTACAGTTTATGATAAACAAAAATTATAATTATTATAATATTATTATGTATTATGTAATCCAAACATATTATTATCATATTATTATTATCACGATTTATTTTCCTTTATAGATATTAATTAATAATTTAAAGTCTATAATAAATATAAAAGTTACAATTGTAATTACAATACAATTGCATCATGGTGATATACCGTTTCCACTATAGATAGGATTGGATTTGGAGAGAGTTTATAGCAAAAGAATTAATTACAAAATTAAATTATATTTTTATAATAAACATTTATAATTTTTACCGAAAATTTTCCATCATGTTTATTTTGAATGCATATAAAAACAATAGTCTATTAATAATAGGGGAAAAATACAAGGAAAGGATTACACAGAAAAAGTAAAACTTAATTTCCAATAAAACATCCATTTGTTGGCTATTTTTCGAAGGTTTTTGATTGATTATATTGAATAAATTAATCGCCTTGATAATTCTAAGATATTTAACATTAAGTATTGTATGTCTGATAATACAAGCAAAAGTAATTATTTATTTTGTTTTTTAACAAAAAAGGTTATTTATTAAATAATTTTTATCGTAAGTGATATAATTTTATTTTTTTAAATAACAAAATAGCGAAAGAATTAATTATAAATTTAAATAATAAACTTAAAACAAGTTTATAATAAGAATCTTTATAAACTAAGAATAATTTGTGTTTTAAACGCACCTGGTATATTTGTTAACAAATAAATTGTGTTATTTATTTAATTAAATTTCAAACTAATTGTAATACAAAACATTTAGATAAATTTTTGTAATAATAATTTTTATATATAAATATAAGATTTACAAATGGATTACTACTGGATTTAAATCATGTAATTATAAAACTAATAATAAAATAATCTTAATAACAAATGAATTTTATTTAATTAAGTATAATGTTGTTTATAGTTAAGTCTGTTCACTAAATTGAAATTGATAACATGGTATATAAATTATTTTTAATTGTTTGTAATATAAAATAATAATATTAATAAATCTATTTCAATAAAAGACAATATATTGCGGAGTAATCACTGAGTTTTGGCCACTTTTGTCGTCGAATAGGATTTTCGATAGAAATCGTAAAATAGATAGAAAAAGAATGGATTTTGTCCGACTGTTGGGAAATAAACAAAATAATTAATTATGAAATTAATTTTAATTATTAAAAATAAAATCCTTCTCTATTTACTCCAAACTTATTATTATCAAACCTCAATTTATTTCACATTTAAAAATATTAATTTTTAATTTACAGTTTTTAATAATTATAAAATTTAGTGTAATTATTCTAATGCATGTTGATGAAAAATAGCAGTAACTATCTTATATATAAATACACAAAATATACGATTTAGTAAAATTAATTTGAAAATTTAACAAAAAATATGTAAAATAAATAGAAACGATTGCTAAAACATATCCAAAACTATATTATTGTTAAAACATAAATCTCTGAAAATTCATTTTAATAATTATTTTCAGTTTATGATTACTAATCATGTGCTATTTTAAAATCAATATTTTCATTATTTTATATTTCATTTTTTAATAATAATAATAAATAAACTTCAAACAAGTTAAACTAATTGTAACTATTTTATAAATTACTACAAAATAAATATAATGAATATTTACCGCAAACCCAGAACCAAACGGACGGATAACCGGTTTGTAGGATAAACAGGACCACACCATAAGAGCCACACACTAAAAACTGGATCAATTGCATCATGGTGATGTACTTTTTCCACCATAGATAAGGTTGAATTTGGGGCCCAAACGATGCCAACGAGTAATACGAATACATCAACACATGTATAGCTGTGTTGAACAGACCGAACAGTCCTATGATCGGCGCCAATGGATTGATTTTCATTGAGAACCAGCCTGGTCAATTTGTTTTTGTAATTACAATAAAAATTAATACTTTTTACTTTTAAGAGAGAGAGAGAGAGAGAGAGAGAGAGAGAGAGAGACTGTAATATATCAATTCATCAATACTTTTTAATTTATATTTCTAAAATTCATAAATTATTTTGGGTTGAGCAGGGCAGTTAGAAATATAAAGTTTACAAATTAGTTTTGTTATATGGCACTAATAAATCGCCTAAAATACCTAAGAATGGCACAGCAGTATGATGGTAAACGTGTAGAAAAGTAATCTGGCTATGTTTTTTGCGCAACACAAAAAACACAGTGTCCAACATGTCCAGGAAGCGGCTCATCCATCCATACCAACCCAGATTAAGTTCGCGCAATGTTTTAGCCGAGAAATCATGACGATCGGGGTAATTGAAATTGAGAAACCTTTGCCCGTACTCTAAATGGATCACGATCTCATAGAAAAAGTATGCATTTATAGCGACCATCATCGTATTGTAGGCTAGTATTGGGCCCCGCAATGTGTAGGCTTTCCGGTTGGCCATAAACTCTGGCAAAATCCTCTTGATTAATAGTAAATAGCATGACATTACTAGCAGTATTTTCCACACACCGCCCTCAACCTAGGTAAACATAAATTGTGATATTATTAGTATTAATAACTTTAATAGTTTAACAACTGTAAATTTTTTATTATGATTGTATTAAATACTTATAAATCATATAATCATTTTATTATTGGAAAGATGTCTAAAAAGAGAACTTATTTGAATTTAAGCAAGTGTTTTGATTTTATATTGTTTAGTTTTACAACTGTAATTATTTTATCACAGTTAATTAAAATATTTATAAAAACATTGATAATTTAATAATTGGTTTACAACTGATATTTCCATTTTATACTATGTAACTTAAAATCTGTAGTTATTTTATTACAATTAATGAAAAATGTTATATGATGATTTTTAGTTAAACAACAAGTATTAATTGTTAAACATTAAAATACATCAGAGTAAAATTAAAAAATAAATAAATAAAAATTATGAATTATTATAAAAATATATTTGACTAGTTTAAAATAATAAGTAATTTCAACTTTTAAACTGACCATGGGGAAATGTTTGGTGCGCGGGTCGGCCTCATCGATCCAGTACTGGTGTCCGTAATACCAAACTGTGTCCAACGATTGGCCGCAAAAACTGACCAAATACTCGGGTAAGGTATCCGATAGTAGAGTGGCCAACATTTTTAGTTTCGCAGTGGTGTCACAAAGTATTGATTTTATATGGCATTAAAACTTTTGACTACACTAATCGCAGGTACATTAAAATGCAGCGATTTTTTTCAAACAACACAATAAATAAATAAATAATTATTTTTAAATAAAATATAAGCAAAGAATTACACAGAAAAAGTAAAACTTAATTTGCAGTAAAACATCCATTTGTTGGCTATTTTTTGAAGGTTTTTGATTGATTATTATGAATAAATTAATCGCCTTGATGATTTTAAATTATTTAACATTAAGTTGTATTGTATGTCCAATAATACAGGCAGACGTAATGATTTTTTTACAAAGTTGTATTTTTTTGTGTTGAGTATTTTTTTAGGTCACACAATCAAGTGGTAAAATAATTGCTTAAATAACAAGTAGTTTTAGTTTCGCCAGCATTTCATTGCACACAATATAATGTTATTATTATTAAAATGTTTAATTTTCTCAAACAAATACAATAAGGTATTTATATTAGTATTTAACAACACANTTATTATTATTAAAATGTTTAATTTTCTCAAACAAATACAATAAGGTATTTATATTAGTATTTAACAACACAAATAAACGGTGATTTATAATTTATAAATAACACAAAATTAAATAATATTTTTATTAAATTATTATTGTTTGCAAACAACATAGATACTTTTTTAAGTTCACAAATTAAACAACATTTAACTGTAATTTATTGCCATGATCAAACAATTATATTTCTAAAAATTAAATCAAAATCACCACAATAAAATATATTTACTATGTACCACAAACAGCGTATAAAACTGTTGGGTTAGCAAAGTGTAAGGGTAACGGGAAATAGTATTATGATAAAATATTTGGGAAATAATGAATTTTGGAAATATGCATTTTTTGATCTCTCTCACAATCACTCCCTCTCTCCCCAATGCGGCAGTCATTCACCCGTTAAACAACTTTCTCATTCTGACTCTCTCTCTCTCTCTCTCTCTCTCTCTCTCT